GAAATATTATAAAGAAATCGACACAATCAAGAACATAAAAAATTTAAAAAAACAAGATGAAGTAGGATTCCAAACGACTAACGAAAATACAAAATGAAAATCCTACTCGTGACGCAAATTCTACTTTACATTGCAAGGTGATCCGTAATTCTTACATAATAACATTAAAAGTACAATGTAGAGTAGAATTTGCGTTACGAGTAGGATTTTCATTTTGTATTTTCGTTAGTCGTTCGGAATCCTACTTCATCTTGTTTTTTTAAATTTTTTATGTTTAGTACAGGGTCTTTGGCCAAATTTTGTCAAAAATGACTAGGTGAGAAATCTCCGTATTTATAATGTATTCTGATGCATATACATGTTGTTATTTTGTGTAGCAAGTTTGAGCTGATTCCGATCAAAAGTAAATTTTTTACAAATTTTTAAAGTTACTTCAAAAATTGGGCCAGCGTCCCTGTACTATAGTACAGAGTCGTTGGCTAAATTTTGCCAAAAATGACTAAAAGAGAATTCTCCATTTTTCTAATTTTTTCTGATGTATATACACGTTGTTATGCTATGTAGCAAGTTTGATCTGATTTCAGTCAAAATTAATTTTTTTACGAATTTTTGAAGTTACTCAAAAATCGGGCCAGCATCCCTGTACTATATAGTACAGGGTCGTTGGCCAAATTTCACCAAAAATTACTAAAAGACAATTTTTAATTTTTATAATTTTTTCTGATGCATATACGCGTTCTTATGTTGTGTAGAAAGTTTGAGCTGATTCCAATCAAAATTGAATTTTTTACAAATTTTTGAAGTTACACAAAAATTGGGCCAAAGTACACTGTGTCAGTGTTTATCAAAAAATGGCTTAAAGGAAATTTTTCTTTTTCTATTATGTTTTCTAGTACATCTAAACATTTTCTTATGTTAACTTGTAATTTGCAATGTTGTTTATTTTTATTATTTGTTTTCATATTACATGTACATGTACAGTATATATGCATTTACACTGTATAATGTTTATATTTATTTATTATGTAGTTTAAGGACTCTTTGTCGAGCACTGTCTTATGCTTTCAAAAATACTTTTAAAAATATCCGTCGCTCAATTTATGAGGTATAACGATTAGTAATATATATATTCAAATTACATCCATTATAATTACATTTTGTGTTACATTATGATTTACTGTAATTCTATTTAAATAGGGTTTGCTATTAAGTTTCTATTCCCAGCTAAGAGTGGAGGATTATCAAATCGTTGCTTCCGAAGCTAAGAAATATCTCAAACCCTCACTCTCCTCCGCCCAGCCACGCCCTTTAGGGGCAGAGTCAGTACCAGTGGAAGGTTTTTGGGTACCAACAGGATCAGAAGTTCCAATAGTACCGGCAGATTACATCATTACTGCTAGCATACGTAATAACCTCAAGAATCTAGCCAGGATAGTATCTGGGAGGTAATTAATATATTTACCATATAGGCTGGTTTACAATATTATGCTAGTCC